GATTGAGTATCCATTAATTTGTATCCAGAATAGATTTCTATTTTCAAATCGATTTATTTGCTCTACTTTCAAATATATATCTTTTTGTATATATATTATAACCCAAGGACCTTGTTTATTCTTTTTTAAATCTCTCTAAAGATTTTAATTATTAATTAGCTGATATTGATTATATACATTATAATTTTGTATAATTAAATTCCAGTATAGTCTTGATTTCTGTAAATAGATTATATCTAGTTGAGCTTTAGCTGCTAATTGTAATAGTATAATATGATTTGTATATTCCTGGTTTATATTTATCTAAATGATAATAAAACCTTTGTTCCTTTGAATATACTTATTGATTATATTATTTATAAAGAGAATCTAGATATAGTATTTATTATTATAGAGATCTCTATATTGTTTATCTCTAGATTTATTAAAGTAAAGGCTTTTTCTATTAAGACTTCTATATTGAGATTCCGCTAACTTTGGCTATAAGCTGAGTATATGTATAGTATGATTAATGCAATCAGCAGATTTGTATTAAACCTGTATAAGTATTTGTTGAGGTATTTATTTTTATATATTATAATCCTTACCCCTAGAGTAACCAGGGTTTCTATAATTATTACTCTAAAAAACAAAAGTAGTTCAAAAGTATGATCCGCTTTATTTATATTTGTTCTGTATAGCGTTTTATAATCTTTTCTATCAACAACTCTAACTACAGCCAGTTTCTTTGTGGTCAGAACGATCTGTTGTTTAGTGTAGACCCTAGAAGCAGCTAGACAGTTGGAATAACTAGTATAGAAGGGCTTATAACAATTAATATATTGAATTGCTTTAGTATATTATTAATATACAAATACACCCTTATACTCAATATTTAGTTTACTATATATCGAGTATCTTAAAGTTTTATTACAAATGAAGAAATTATAATACTTTAAGCAATCAATACTATAAAATTGAATTTCCTGGGGTTTATTTAGAAGAACCGAATAAAAACTGTTATTGAATAGTCGAAACCGTAATACTACAATATTGAAGCCAATAATCCAGATAGCTCTTTTAATAATCGGATTAACCCCACTACATACCAATCTATAATTGATTAGCTATTTACCAATTTGAGCTGTAATCTCCTTCTTAATAAACTCAATAAATATAGAAGCAGGAGCATCTTTGATATAATAGAAATTGTATAATACTTGTAGGATTATATATATAAATTATTTTTCTAATTTATATATATTTATTGTATAAAGGGTTTTAAGTACTCACTTAACATTTTCTGTTTTCATAATCTCCTTCCGACTAGTATTAGAGCTGTATCTTAATATCCAGTCTGTATTGTTCCTTTAAAGAAAAGGGATCTCTATTAATATGATTCCAGTAATTACCTTTTTTATTCTGAGTTTTAATAAAAATAGATTAGTCTCTAAAAGCAAAGCTTCCCCGCTAGTTATTATAAGGATTGTTTTCTCGATTCGATTATTCTCCCTTTTGAGTTTATATGCTCCTAAACATTAGTGTTTGTATTTCTATTAGAAACAGAGTGTATTGTATTAGTAAAGCCTGTAATAGGGCTTATTGTCTTAAGCCTTATCTGAGTTTTCAATATATCAGTATAGGTTTTCTACATATTACTTTCTGATTATAATTACTCTATTGCAGGCTTTCTTCCTTAATCAAGGGTAGTCTTCATTATTCCTAACAGAGCAAAAATGATTGTATTTTTAAACTTTGTGGCGAGTTTGTATTATTAGTCTTGAAATCCTTATACAAGTTTATCTACTAATATTATAAATATTTCAATCACCTTCTGTCTCTTTCCCTTTATTTTATTAATTCTTTCGAATTATTTCTTGATTATATTAAGAGCAGAGCCTGTAGGCGATTTTATAATTAGTAAAGGCTGTATACTAGCCCCTAAGGTATTGATAACTATTTAAAAGAGGAACACCCCTAAGTTAAGGAATTGCTTGGTACACCAAGAGCGTACATCGCCATCGGCGTGATGGAAGCCTCCTGTGGTTACAAGGTTTGATAGGATTAAGCTTGCCGGGGCAGGGGAAATAAATAAGGAGTATATGTGAATCGTCCCTTGGAAAGTTATATGTATAAGTGTTATAAAGCAATGAAATAATTCGATATCAGGATAAAGTGATTACTTAGATATATGTAAGTATAGGTATAAATATAAAAGATTATCTTTATTATATTAATAGAATAATCAATACTATTATAAAAGGAGCAATCCCAATATACAAGACAATACCAATCGCAGCTCTTATCAAAAAAACAGGCCTATTATCAGGGATAGTCACACTAGAATATGCCAAACTGCAATTCGCATTCCGATTAAAAACAATCGATAATCAATATTTGCTAATAAATCGTTTGAAGCTAGTAATATGAAAACGCGAATAAGGAGTAGGCACAGCAAGAGGGCCTCTTATAAGAATCCAGCAGTTCAGCTATCTTATCCCAAAGACATAACACTCGAAGCTATTCCGCTTGCACTTTTTGATTAATTATAGAACGAATTTAACAAAAGAATTAATCAAAAAAGAAATAATTCAAGCTTTTAAAGAATAATAGCAACAACTCCTATCCAAAGACTACATAATCTTTTCTAATAAATCAGAATAAATTATTGATTATAAATATTGTATTGGCTATAGATATATAATATATTGTAATAATATTTAAATAGCCTTCGGATTTAAGTAGATTCGAAGTGATTTATATATATTCGATATAGAAGTGATAGGAGTATAGTGTGGATTGGAGTATTTAATTATTATACTTAAAGATCCTTTGAATAGTTGGATTTGGATGTGTATTAATAGTATATTGATTATTTGGGGTATATATAGAAACACACTACTTATAATACAATAAGCTTTTTATAAATATCATAAAGCAATGAAATAACTCAATATCAGAATAAAGTGATCATTTGGATATATAGAGATCAAAGGTAATAAGGAAGTAGATTGCTTAACAAATGTAAATACAATTGGGCTTATGAACTAAACAATTGATAAGCTATCAATAATCAATAGGGTCCGAACAATTGTTTATCAAAAGTGTCTATATATAGAATCTATTTAATAGGAAGAAATAAACTCCTTTCTCTTCATTAGCTATAAGAAATAATCTTTTAGATACAATATAAAGGAATTAAAGAAACTAACTTTACTAAAAGTAATCTTATATTAACTAATAACTATAAAAACAGATCATAGCAATTACACTGCTTATTATCAACGATTTAATTATCAAAACAATAAGCTAAACTACTTATACAGTAATACTAAAAAACCATATCACTTCTTTAAATACACTATAAACAATTTAAAGCATTCAGATTAGCCTCTTACCTCTATAGAAATACAATCTAACAAGTAGATGATTATATATATCAAGAAACTCTTATATATACCTAACAAGCTCATTCAGCTAATCACTGACTCAGAGTTTTATACTTAAATCTATTTTAATTATTAAAGAACCCTTAAAAAGCAATAATCTTTTTAATAAAACTTATTGCTTACTCTTTATAAACTCATTACTTAATTGATTATTTGAATATACTATATCTCTAAAAATCACAAATCTAATATATAATATAAGAGTTCTATTATTTGGCTAAACAAATAGTAATCCATTCTTGCTTTTTCTTTTTTACTATAAAGATCGAAGTTTACAATAAACCTATCCACCCGGAAACCAAGCTTTATCTCACAACAATCCGGATTAAATATTCCCTTCTAGAAACAGAAGCGGATCGCACCCGTAGAGAAGCGAATAGCCCCTGATATTGAAATTAAATTGCTAAATTCGGTCACGACGATCACACTGTTCAAATAATTCCTTATCTTAGCACATCTAAATACCCTTAGGGAGGTCCAAAACAGACGTTAATTAATATAAATAAATAAATAAATAAAATACGATTATACAATTTATACTAAAAACTAGTAATCTATATTGAAAACTAATAATCTACATTAAAGACTGATAATCTATACTGAAAACTAGCGATCTGTACTAAAAAGTCGAATTTTGTTACTGTTTGTCTCAAAAGACGTCATACTCTCGTTACATTAGGCATTAATGCATTGGAGCTGGCAGGTCGCGAGGACGTGCTCCCGCTAAAGTAACCCAATAATAGGTACCACTAATTACTCCACTTTTGAGGCTCAACAACCATCGTATCTCGATGATTCACTTGAATATCGTCCATTCAATCCTCATGTATCATTTCTAGGTTATTTGACAGAACGTGTAATGCATCATAGAGGGAAGAGCTTTGCAGGGTAGACGCTGTTTCTATTATTCAGCAACCTTCTGTCACATCAGATTTAAAATATATATAAATTATAAAAAAAGAATAAGTAACGTGGGTAGAGGGCCATAGGGCCATCCTAACAGCCTCCCTAGGAGTATGGTGGCGTGCCAAGCTAACTGTTTTTATAACACGGGATGACTATTTAGAAGGAATTTCTTAGCTGTCACAAAATCAGTAACTCGGCATCTGATAGACTCTTTTCTTAGGCAGATCTTTTCCTTCAGGCGAGGTAATTATTTTTGTTCATAGTAGATCATATCGCCCTTGTTCGGTACCTTTGATTGGGGTAGAGGGGGTAGTATTAGAAAGGGAAGGAAAAGTGATGTATGACACTGCCAGGGCCCTCTGCTGGACGTGCTCATGTGTTGTATCCAGAAATATACCCATGTTTGTGTGCCTCCCTTGGACACCTAGGAACCCCGGTTCTACTCTTGTAGAAAGAGTGGTGTTGGTGCTTGCTTTGACGCGGCTCATATAGTTTGTATGGTAAAGTCATGGGGTATCATTTCACATGATTTGTAACTGTTTAATATAAAAGTACAGACCGTAGAGCTCAACGTTTTTCAAGAATTTCAACATTGAGGCATTTCCTATCATTGTGCGGTTTCACTTTATCTAGAGCTTGCTATTTTTTTTTAAAGCGGCTTACAAAATGACTGTTTGGCTGTCACTACATGGTGCTGGAGCTGTCAAGCCTGCGGAAAGCTCATTTAAGATCACACCTGGCGAAATTGGTTCAGTCTTAAGACCAACAGACGCTAACGCACTCATCGGTTCCATCAGTTTCTCAAAAGAATTTGAGTCACCTCCAATCGTAATGTTGAGTTTGACAGGCGTGGATACTGGGAATGAGGCCAATTCTAGAGTCCAGGTCTATGCCTCGGAGGTAACCTCGAAAGGGTTTACTGTTCATGCGGACTCATGGGGAAACACTAAACTATACTCATGTGGAGCGTCATGGATTGCATTAGGACCCTGATGTATTATGACCCAGGATATATGATTATGGGGACTTTAGGCTTCGAGCTTGAACTGCCAACCACAGTGGAACACCATATAATTGAATCACCTGACCTAGAGGAGCGGTCGATAGGGATATCCTAATAAGAAAATTTTAAAGATGTAGGCCATTTTTAGACCTAAAAACTTTTGAAACCAAAAAATATATTCTTGTGAAGAGATTATCCTTATAAGGGAGATAATTATAGGGGCGATTCTTATGGAGATTTTGCTATATAGGCGCGACGCGACTGCAAACCCAGAACCCAACAAGCGGGTCTCTGGGGCTTCGCGTTCTTCTGCCAACCTAGGAGGCCAAACTGATGTTGCAAGCAGACGAGCCCTTGCGATCAGTATCATGATCTATTTGTGCAAGTATTTCACGAATCTAACGTAACTTGAAACCTCATAGTAGTCGATACGTGATAAGTTTTTAATTGAATTGATGGGAAATAAAACAATATTTTTCAATAGAAAGGCTTCCTTTATGGACCATGGTATCATTTCTTGAACGCAACACTCATTCTTTGAATCATACAATATAACTCGCCACACCTTATACCAAAAGAGGCTACCTACTCAGCAACTACATCATTATCGTCGTAGTGCCGGTAGACGCCCCAGTCCTGATACTTCTGTCTTCTGTCACTGGCAAGGTACCCAGCAATGTTTGGCCGAGCCTTGACGTCTTCGTATAACTTGAATACCTTGTCATATTTACCGGCTTCTCTGGCTTGCTTCATTGCCTTAGGGAAAGCATAATGGGTGCCATCGAGGGTCTATGGCAGTTGGTCAGTCAGGTCAAAGGATATACCAGTTATATAGTATACAAGGAGGGATATCAGGACAGGGGCCACTATCGGAAGAGGCAGAACAGAATATACCTGAAACAAGACCAAGTCAGCGTATCTAAATATTTTTCCCAACAACCATGGGCCTGGTCCTTGCTCCTCGTTCTCCAACACTCTCTGCCAGTACGCAAGGACGTTAGGGAGGCGGTTTTGGACCCATTCCTTGCTGCGTCTTTTGCTCTCCTCCTTCTGGTCTTCCCAGGGTAGTATTGTAGCGATAGGATGGTGTGTATCGTGAACTTCATTGCTAAGAAGGTCGAGCGCTGTCAGGGCAAGGGCATTTACTCGGTACAAGTCGTTCTCGCGCGATCCGGCAAGTCCAAGCTTGGGACCAAGGTATAGGAGAATATTGGGGGTCTGAGAGATGATCAGGTCGCCGTGCTTGAAGAGAGGCGGGGCGAAGTAAGGTGGGTTTCCATGGCCGCCACCAGCGAGCCAAGTCACGACATTCTTCCGGGCTTCATCAAAAGATAGTGACTGTGTGTCTTTGTACTGGACGCCAGCTTCCTCGAGGATGAGCCGGACATGTTCACCGCGGCCTGGAACGCCTGTGTAGTAAATGAGCTCGTAGGGTGTAGCCATACTGATTTGAAGGGTGAGGTAGTATACGAAGCGTCTCTCGAGTGTTGATGGTGAGTGTTTGTTCCTCCGCGTGAATAGGGATAAGATAACCTCAATACAGATGCGATGTAAAAATAGGCAGGCCGCCACTGCAGTCAGTGGTCGCAACGGGTGGCTTGGGTGGTAAGGCTGGTTACGGGTACCCGTGGTTACAGGTGGTGACGGGGATGAAAAAGCCATCCCCGCCAATCAGCATTTGGCTATAGGTGGTGAAGCTTCATTTTCACGGGTTGCAGCTGGATGGGGATTTGGAGCCACTCATAACAAACGGGTATTGAGAAATTGACGCTAAACACACCCGTTGCGACCACTGACTGCAGCCACTTTAATTTCTCCTGTAAATGGCAGCATGCATGCTGACCACTGCTTACCCACCAACATGCAGGCGCTGTGCCGCAAACACGTTCAAGATCGGTAAGTGGTACATTTTACAGTACGGAACATGATTTCCCGTACGTGCTTGTGGCATAGATCTTACCACACCTCTATGCTACGCTGCTACCGCCTGCAATCTACCCATAGAGGTAATATGCCAACCTAGCTCGGTTGACTCTTCCTGAATTTTATCGACGCACCCAGCCTCGTGAGATATCTGTCGATCTTCTGTCCTTTGCATTTACATTTCTCATTACCAAGGAGCATAGAAGGAACATCAAGTTCACATGACAATCTATCGCCAGCGTCGTGTCACTGTCAGACAATTTCCTCGGCCTCTCAGCTATAAAACCTCCCACTGGCGAGGTACAGATATTGACAACCCACTGAACGAGAACAATATCATCATTGGAGTTTATTCTGTGTGCATTGCACTTGCTTCCATATTCGTTGTTCTGCGTCTCTATGCCAAATTCGTTTTTACGAAAACCACGAGAGATCAGGATTGTACGATACTCTCTTGTCCATCCGAATCTTGGTGACAATCTGATATTGTCACGGAATTCACCGTATAGTGTAACCCTACGGTATTAATCCTAGTACTCCTTTGGAGTACTCATTCCCATAATTACTAAAACTATTTCACTCAGTTCATTTGTGTATTCTATATACCTAATTAGACGACTCCATTGCTTGATCAGGGTATATAAAGCAGGTATGATCCTTATAATCACACCTCAAGTCAATCTAGTTTATTATCACTCTATATACCTATCTCCTGATCAAAGTGACCATTAGACATAGCTATTACCTCCGTGATAATTACCTAGTACCTAGGTCCTCTCTACCTGCACCGTGATAGCTATTCATTCTTTATACATAGATTAAATTTGCTACATAGATACTGTGACAACAACGGAGTCTTTCTTAACAGTTCACCCCCAGATGAAGCAGCTTTACAAACAGCAAATACGCTTCTTAATTCAATAATTGATAGTGGTACAGTTCCTTCAACACCGGTTCGTCAATATATTCGAAAATTAACAACCGGAACTGAACAACTTCGAGCACGAAGTATCGTCCATCAACACGATGCCAATAATCTCCGGTCGATCATGAAGAAGCGTACAACTCATACAAAGGGAAAAAGAGTAGTTTTAAAAGGTCATTTCAACATTTCTACGCAAGAATTATGTGATGCAGTAGTAGAAGCTGAAAAAGCTACTAAAAAGCAAACAGGAACAAATAGAAAGGGAAAGGGAAAGGCGATTATGTACAATACTGAGATTAACGAAGATAATGAAGAAGAAGCTGAGGATGAATCTGAAAGTGAAATTGGGGATTGTATTAACGTGGTTTAACAGTGGGTCGGCCATATCAGTGGATCGGCCATTTTTATTTCGAATTGTTATTCCAAAGCTATATTATTCAACAACAATTAAATCAATCGATTGAAACTATAGAGATTCTAATAATCTAGAATCTATTGTATTATTCTGAAAAGTCCTTGTATTATGTCCTATCTTTCTATACTTATTATAATATCGATTGAAAAATAATTCCCTATTAGAATTCCTCTCTTTTTGATGCTTATTATATTAAATCTGAATATTAATCTTTTATTGAGATAATATATCAAGAGCTTCTTGTTTGATAAATATTCTTCTTTAATATATTTGAGTTTTTTTTATATATTGATATTTGCTTAATATCTTATTTGCTTTTCGAAATATACAAATCTCAATATTCAAAAGTATATTCTCATAAGCTAATCTCTCTATACCTTTAGCTAAAACTAATATAGTTTCAAATATAAGTATAGAGAAGCTTGTTTGATAATAAGTTATTCGAGATTTAATTAATATTGATTAAAAAAGAGTTTTTATTGGATTATAAAGGGTTTAAGAGATTTATTGATTTAAATTGAAAAAGAAGGGAATAGATATACAAATTCGAATATTCAATTTCGAAAGTATAGTTTCAGAATTAAAAGGTATTAAATCTGTTTCTCGGAATTCTGATTTCATATTCTAAATTGTGATTGATTCTTGGTATACAGTTTTGAAAACTATAAAGAATTCAACTTTCGAAATATAATTGATATATATCTTGATAAATCTATTAATTTAATTATTATATGAATATTTCAGATTGCTAAAATAGTTTATATCAAGTAATTAAGTTAAATGACTTGAATATAATAATAAATCCAAATATATAATATCATTCTCTTTACAATATACTTGAAAAGGTTTTGATTTGTAATTTTTATATCTATTTAATATCAATATCCGATATTTGTTCTTTTTTTGATTCTTAATATACTTATCGAAATGCTTCAGTTATTCTAAATCTGTTTTATTGTTTATTTATCTATTAGATATAGATTTAATAGCCTAATCTATAGGGAAATCGATTTCGATATATTAATTAGAAAGATAAACCTATTCTTGAATCACTAGAAATAGGGGTATAATTTCGCTCTCCTTATCACCATATATAATCACTATAGCCTATTCCCTATTACCTAATTGTATTGCCTTGCTTCTGTTATTTCGTTTAGCATTAATTATTACTATTCCGAAGCATATTATACCCATCATAAAGCCTGTTTTGTCAAAGTTGTAGAAATCGTAATCGAGAATACCGTATTTTACTCGCATATTCGAAACCAATCAAAACTACTTCTTAATAAGCTTAGGATCTTTACAGAGAGCTTTTTAAAAATCATAAATATAACTAAAATATATCTTTAATTCGATTCAATATTTTATGAATCAATATACCTAAAGATTCCCAATACACTTTGTACCTCTCGATTCGAGAATATGATTTGCTATATCTTTTATTATTCTAAGTTTAGGTGAAAATCCTTTTTTATTTATATCAAATATATATTGAATAAATATTTCCTCTTTCAATTCAATAAATTATAACTTTTTGATTGACTTTCAGTTATATTAGGTTTATTTCGAATTCTATTACCTAATATAAATCGAGATATATAATAAAGCTGAGCTGCTTTTTGAATTATTAATTTTTTATTTAATTTAATAGCTTGAATAGCTAAGATTATATATGCTTTTTTGGAATGAATTTCTATGATTAATTATGAAGAAAATGCATATTGAATATAGAATAATAATTTGAGGTAAAAATAGCCGACCTACTGATATGGCTGACTTACTGTTAAACCACGTTATAGTTGACTGTTGAATAATATAAGTTTTAGTTGAGTAGTCCCCCGCATTTATGGTATCTACGCCACTATGGTACTTACGCCACGACTTACGTTATCAAATCGTTCCCTTAACTCATACCTCTATCCAAATGAAAGACTGTTTGTACAAGGATACAGATGACGTAGCATCTACAGCTTGGTAGGTCCTAAATGCCAAAGTTGTATTCTGTCTAAAGAGCTACTATAGCTATATACAGGAAATAGGAGGCCTTGAAATTAGGGCTAATGAAGGAGCTAGTCTTTTTCGCATTCCCTTAAGTGGTATAGCAGTCATTGAATTGAAGTTATTCATCTACGTTCACACAAAGACTTAAAAAAAAATTCACCTTTTCCTAACATTCTACAAACTACCAAATAGATCTTAAAGACCCTGTCTATAACAGGGGGATTTGAAATGTGTTTTGTAATTGGTTGGTTGAAATTACGACGAGAGGATTTTATAGAATGTGTATCAAGTAGGACCTATCTTATCTCTCTATCTATACTACAGCAGTCAGGTTGTCTCTTACTTTTTGTTACGGAGGTATGTATTATAAGATAAACCTAAAGCCTTAGTGTCGGAACCTACGAAAACAGTACGATAGGGATAGTAGGATTAAAGGGTAATCAAAGATAGTGATAATCAGATAAGTAATCAGTGATTAAAAGATAGGTACTTATCTTTTGTTAGCATCTACCCTACAATAAGCATAGGATGTATAGCGGTTACAGGTTAGCTAGTGAGTACAGGTTAGGAGTAGGCATGGGTTAGATAAGCAGCGGCCTTGCTAAGGGTCACGGATAAGTGCTACGTGACTAGAAGCCGATCGACTTGTCGACCGACTTCAGAGGACGAAGATCTATATAAGGGAATGGGTTTCATTATAATGTAAAGCTTTATACTGAAAACAATCATTAGTTCTATACTATAATTACAAGAATTGCAACCAGTTACAACCTTATTGAATCCCTACTTGAAATCTAGTCTAAACCACCTCAAGAGATCTCTAGACACTTCCACATGACCTTAGAGGCAGCTCCTGTAACATGAATCCGGTTTTTACCTTGCTTGGCAAGTTTGCGATTTCCTTTATATTGTTGTCGTTCTTCCTCATTCTCTTCTTTACTACCTTCTACATCAGGTGCTGTCAATGCCTTGTATATTAAAAGACGATTTGTGAACCTGTATTTGATATTGTCTTCCAATTGCGAGATATAATCTAAGTCTGCTATTGTTGCAAAAGAACTCAGGAGGCTGTGAAAAATTGAAGTTGCAAATAATGTATACTTGAGGCTAAGGCTGAGAGTGAATATGCTAGATCACAGTGTTATATCGGCGTGAGTGAGGAATCAAAGGCTATTCTACTTTAGGTGCTAACTATTGAGGGACGTGGTATTCCCCACATTCGTCTTGGTAGACGGTGGTGCAAGTGACGTACATGCTAGCACTCTTTCTGGCTCAGCTGACTCATCCTTGCACATGCAATGACGCTGATCTTAATGCCATCCTCTTCCTCTTGCTGCCTCGACTCTCTCCTATGGACCTTACTCGGCGACTCCCAACCCACACACACTTCTTCTCTAGACCGATTCTTCTCCAAATCTGCTCTTCTAGAAAGATATTTCTGAAGCCGAAACACATGTCAGACTGGACAGCAGCAAATAGTACGAGCCAGTGTCAAGCAATCCACGTTGATCAATTCTCAAGATACCAGACATGCTCCAAAGCCTTGTGGGGGATGATCAACAAATGTCCGTTGTTAGTTCTGCATCTGGCAAAGTGGCCCAGGCTTCGGCCCGTCCGGTATTAGCTCAAGATCACCCCACGCTTGTAAAACAAGCTTGTATCAACTACGCTTAATCTACAACAGGCTGGATATACATAACCGAAGCTTCTTGCGACCTAAGGATTGACGGCAATTTATGTTCAATTTATGTGTAGCTTGTGTATAGGACAGAAAAAGATATCAACCCGATCTTTCATTGGAGAGTCGATATCGTTGTTACGACTTTCTTTGCATTAAAGTCGTCTGAAAGCGGGGTACGCGGCTTGATCAATTCCTCCTGGAGCCTGCAGTCAACTGTGGCTGGATTGTGGTCATACAACATGACTGCCATGGAAAAAAAAACGAGCCCCTTCGAATGAATGATGATATTCTTATCATGTTGTTTCGTATCCTTGTTTCTTCTCACTGTTTCTTCTCATTGTGCTATTTTGAGTAGTTTGAACCACTGTACTTAGAGATCGGCTTGGATTGGCGACTTTATGCCGACTGTATGGCGACTGTATGCATACATGATTCATTTTCTGGTTCAAGGTTCTGCTCGGAGAACTTAAACAAACTTTGGAACACTTCTTATGTGATCTGCCGTTTACCCACCATTCATCTTTCATCTTCAATCCTGCCATATCTATCCAACATATTTTCACACATTTCCCGGTTCATCCTTCCTTTATTCACCTCCCCATTCAACGAAAACCCTACAACTGTCGTTATTATTACGTCAAAATAATATCCTACTGCCATAGTAGTATGCCTTCATTGATTCAACACCGAAGGTCCATGAAACATTGCTCCTGCCTCTGTTGTGATCCTTTGGATAGCCAGGAAGAATTGCGCGAAGCCCGTCAGCCCTCTATCGATAAATACACTTGCCCTCAATGCAAGCAGCGCTTCGCACAAAAACCATCTCTTGAAGCTCACCAACGGGAAAATCTGCATGCCTACTGCTACAAGTGTGATATCATCTCTTCTACGAGATTTCTGAATGCATTACATATGCAATCGCATTCTTCCGCTCGAGTGACAACACTTTCCTCAGCGACACCATTCTGGTGCTGCGACTGCGAACGGAATTTCAAAAGTGAAAGAGCACTCACAGCTCATCTTCGTTATAGCCAGGTACATACGCTGCAGAAGGGAGCCGAAAAAGAGAACTTACAAGAACAACAAGATGAGGGCAATCGCCAAGCGAAGTGCAAGAAATGCCCAAAATCTTTCAAGGATTGCGCTGCGTTGAAGCAGCATCTGATGTCGGTACATCGTAAGCCGCTGGGCGACATTAACTTCATGGCAAATGTGGAGCGCAAGAAGCAATTTAGTTTCCCATCGGCCCAGTTACATCATTTGGAGGCTGTAGAACGTGTGTCTGGGATGACAAAGACAAAATTGAATGCAGCTATTGCAGTGAATAATTCTGAAGCAGTCAAAATACAGGGGCCGCTGGATCGCAATACATCTGAGACCTCGGCATCGCAGATTCGAAGTTCGATACCCACTTCAACCTCATTCGACTCAACTATCACAAAACTCTACTCCATGCTCGCCATCTTCTGGCCTCAAGATTCGCATGGCTATCAAACATGCCCCCGCTGCCCCCGTTCCTCTACTCGCAAATTTAAGCATGATGCACTTCAGCAACATCTTTTATCAAGCGTCCACAATTAGTCCTTGCCCTGATCAGGACTCGATGAGGCATCATCCCATTGCCCGCGTGCTTGAATGCACGAGGGAAGTAAGCAGTCGTTTTCACAATTCTCTACTACGAGCGGGCCAGCGCAGCATATTGAGAGCGGTGCTTGTGATGAAGCAATGGTAACTTCAGGCATGTGTGGTAAAATATGTGCAGAAGGAGATGATGAGGGACACGGGGATTTGGCGAGCTAAAATTGTTGAGATAGACGTTTATATTTACATAAATTCACTATTTTGTTAACATTTAGTAAAGAGGGCTTTAATATGCTGCGTATATTGTTATTATCAATGCTAATTGCGAGGAAAGGGGCAATATATTTCAGTCCTTAGTAATGTGTATTACCCGGGCCACGACATACTATGGCTACGCCCCGACTCTTTAGAATTTGGGAGGTTAGGATTTTCAGACCCAAGCACTTCCCTCCAAGTTAGTAGTTGTCAAGGTCTTTAATCCTAAAGGAGAACTGATATTACATTGCCTCTCTTCCTCCACCCCTTTCAAATGCGGTCGCTGCAACAAATCTAAGACAGCGGAGCTTGTGGCTAAATACCAGCGCCAATAGAACGACCTTCGTTGCAGGGCTTGTTATGGAATGCTTCTCTCAAAGGTTGAGAGTCGGTCGCCTCGATGGGATCGGCAGGAATTGCATGGTAGTATAGGAAGCGAAATTAAGGCGGTATGGATGAGATAGCAAGGAACTTGAGTGTTGCATGCTCGAATCTAAGTTCTTCAGGACGCGGGGATCTATAATTGGGCTTGAAAAGGTATCGGAGAGGAATTTGTTTACGTACCTTTCGGATCCATAACGAAATTGAAGACCTGACACCCTAGGCTTGATAGATGCAATTCCACCGAACCTCAAATCATAAATGTCGCCAACGAGATATCCCCGTTTCTGAGAGCAGAGGCGGTTGGTGGTTGATCTACCAGAGTCATCTCAGTAGGAATATGATAGGAACATTGATGACGAAAGAACTATTTTGCAGTCGACAAATTTGATGAGCGAACAAACTTGCCTATGACTGAACACAGTGCATTCTTCAAAATCGTTGTATTTAAAATTGTATTTAATTTAAAGCAATATAAAAGTGATCATCACAACCATGGCAGCTATATTTTTGCTTTCCTTTATTTGAAGCTTTCCCCCTATGCTTCGTGTTACAATTTGGACATACTATCGCAGAATGGTTCGCCACATGTAAAAAAGCCTTGAGAACATCGTATGCGATCTCCCCATCCTCCTTACACAATTTTGCAAATTCCCCTTTATCAGCCAGTTCCTCCATATGATCAGCAGCAGCTTGAATCGCAATGTCTTTGAGTAGGCGATCGGACTCTGGAAGTTCATCGTACATAAGCCTTAGGCTAGCTGATAGTGAAATAGTATTCCATTCAGTGAATACAGCCTTTTCGAATTTGGTTTTGACGAGTACCTTCAATACTTGAATATCATATTTTTCTGCTATGATAAAAACGCGTATACAAATTGTCAATATTTCCAAAAATTCGTCAACTACTTGAAAAACAGTTTCCTTGATAAGCGCAATTGATTTTTCATCGGATGCCTCAATTGGAAACTCTTGGAAATATATATTTGACGCCTCTTCAACGATTTCATTAATAGAAGGTATAGCATCGAAGTCTCCGATATAAAGGAATTTGATAATTCTTTCAACAATTGCCAGATAATCATCTGGCAGATTTATTTCGTCGATCAAAGCCTTCTAAATCAGAGTAAGCAGAGCTAGCTCAATGAAATAAATCTACCAACCAAAAATGCACTATCCACATGAACGGCGAGAGGCCTTGATTATAGATACACTACATTTCGATGAACTCTAAACACTTTATTGCTACATTTGATGGTAAAATCAGAGTAGCGGCCAGTGTCAAGTATCCTATGAGTGTTAACAGAGAATAATTCCTTATGAGTTCATATAAACTTACCTAACAAGAAGGCTTGATGTACCAGACATATTGGCTTTGACTTAGAGGTGGATAACTGTTAAATAAAGTGCTTAAGAAATATAATGTTGAGTGCTTATGAGAATATAAGAGATTTATATAACAATGATTGTTTGATGGCAAAGAAAGTAGGTGTAGTCACTTTCAAGCTATTAGCCGCATATGGCAATCGCGCAAGCTGACTGGCTGAACAAATTGCAGCAATACAATCTTTTTGGGCGAATGGTGGAACTAGTGACAACCAAATTTTCCTTTACGTAAGTTCTATAGCTATCGGATGACGAGGATTGGATGATAGGTGATGATCTGATCATTGGCTCAAATTATCACGCTAGCTTTGAGTAATATTCTTGTATGCTCACTTATCTTCAATTTATTGAATTTCTACATTGTATGGACGGAATGTATGAGGGGTCTCCAGCGATGGGCGCCCACCGCATTTAGGATAAAGCCAACCGAGCCACTCAGCAACGGAATGGTAGAGCATATTCATGTGAGGGGTCGTGAGACCGATCATTGTGGGGTGCCGATTTTAAGAGTAAGCAGTTTCTATTAGCCATAAAACCATCGTACATGACCCGAAATGTATAGCACCCAACAGATCACGAACGTCGTTGGGTTTTGCTAATTGGTAAGAGATTGCCTACTCACATCATTTTCCCGTTTTTCCATACCCCGTCGCCTCAGTCTGAATGTTTCAAAAACGTGCTCTATTACAGATGTGTGAATAAATTGTCATGCTAAGAATGAATAGTTAGCATTATTACGGAGGATAGCTACGCCATTTGGTTACTTTTATTGTAGAATGGGTAGCAATTGTGACGGCAAACGCTTCAAGGCATAGTAGTGAAATGAATCAATTATAAATACTAGAGAATAACAAAGTATTGTAAATATTACAGGTCATAAGCGTATATAGTGGTAGGTGTATGACGAGGTGACTTAGACTAACAATTAGTCTAATATTAGAAGTAGGCTTGGGTTGACCACTAGAATAATTATATAATCGATTTAATATATAATGTTTAATCTATATATAGAATTCTGTTTACCAAATTAAGAAAGAATATCCAATATTTGATATTTAATATCTGAATTTTCAATTTATCTATTTACTTAGTTATTAATACTATTATTGAATCGTATTAAATCAGTCTACACCCCTACATTTCGGACACGTCAAAAATCACCCCGCTTTGAGTCATTATTATATTTAGAGCTTCAATAACTCTACAATTCTATAATCAATTGATTCGAAATTTTGAAATTATTATATTCATATAATGAAAAATGATTACCTCGAAGATGATCTTCAGGAAACGCTTAGAGCGATAGTAAATGGAGCTAGTATCAGGAAGGCTAGCTTGGATTATGGTGTACCACGTAGTACACTTCACAATCGTATACATGATGGTATATCGCATCAAGAAAGTGCCCAAAGCCAGCAAAAGATAGCTCCGATCCAAGAGGAACTATTAGCAAACTGAATATTAGTACAGGAATCTCTTGGTACTAGTATAACACATCAGCAAATAAGAGATATAGCGAATCACCTTCTCATTATACGAGGAGAGGATTCTATTGTTTTTATATAAAAAATAATATAATAATATTGTTTTTATATAAAAAAATATAATAATATATCTTTTTATATATATATAGTTCTATATTCATATAGTATACTAAGAGCGAATCACAAGATCACATGATCAAATCACATGATCGTCGCTTAAGAGAGCTCTTAGCCCAGAACGGCCTGAAAATCAATTCTTTATTAGCCCAGAACGGCCTGAAAATCAATTCTTTATTAGCTCTTGATTAGTTCTTTCAATCCATTCGTAGTAAGATCGACATAGTACTAGCGAAATCGAATAAGGAATAAGAAAGAAAAGCTTTATTTGATGGAATGGCCGGATTAGGAAGAGATCTACAAGAGATAAACGAAAGTGGAAAGCTAGATTAGTAGGAAAAAGCATAAAATAAGGCCTTTTCCCCTCGAATAAAAAAAATAAAATAAATAAGAATATCATATACTGTTTCATGAAAATCACGTATTTCATAGCTATTTAGTTGTTAATACGAGCCAGCTTCCCATAATAGACTAAGGGCTAGTTTGGATGTACAAATCCGCGCTGGATCCACTGAATATTCCGCTCTTTTTGAAAGCGGATTTTGAATTCATGTTTGGATGTCAAATCACGGATTCCGTTAAATAATCCGCATTTCAATGAATTTAGTATATTTCGAGATAGGGAGGAAATGAATCACTCTAAAATGATACTAAATAATCCGCATTTTTCACCAAATTTGTATAGGAAAACAAAAGCGCAGATTGAAAACAAGGACTAGAAAAAGCAGTTCTCGTTTTCAATCTGACAAATAATTCGCGTTTTTATAAACTCTTATAGGCCTTTCACCCTATATCCATATAGTATTATAATGATATTAATACTTCAAATACCTAAATTTATAGAGTATCTTTATTTTTCTTCAAATCGTCTCTGATTTCGATTTAGATTACTTTACATTTCTATTTCCCACATACTAGAATATATATAGCTTAGTTTAAAAGTAGATTCTTCAATATTCTTTCTATTATAGCTTTAGATTCTATTAATAATTTAGATTGTAAACTGCCTTTTTCTTATTCACAATGAGCGACAATGAGGTTGATAATTCTGAACAGTTTATTCCTATCTTGATTTATAATTTAGCTGCTGTTATTGGCTCTTTTTATTATACTCCAATTTCGAAAAAAAGAACTGGTACTCCTGGTGAATTTAAAACACAATCTCTTCTTGATTCTAAACACCCTCAACGTCGTCAAGAACAACTGCGTATGCCTCTACGCACTTTTCGACTTTTGATCGAGTTTTGTCACGAAAAAACAAAGCTACAACACTCTCAATATGCTTCAATTGATCAAAAGCTATACGTATTTCTCTATATCGTAGGCCAGCGTGGAACTATACGTAGTACAGCTGAAGCCTTTTCTCATTCTGAAGAAACAATTGATTGATTGATTGATTGATTGATTTAATTAACGTCCTTTTCTTAGTCCAAGATTATTTAGGACAACTAGGCTTTAAGAACCTAACAACTACTAGTGGATATCTATAATAGATATATTCAATTTGGGGGAGTAAAAACGAATACTGGGGTGCTATATCCGATCTCTATTCAAAGTATAAATAGAAATTAAATAGTCTTCATTCTTTGAAACACTTTTTCTTTACTTTTTCTCTACCCCTAATCCAATTAAAGTATCCCAATATTCAATTTCTCTTTTTAAAATCCTAAATCTAATTTGCTATCCCTCTCTTTCTATAAAAGACAAGAATTATTCTTTTTCGAATTGTCTCCAATATAATAAAGGGTTTTCTTGTTAGTGAGATAGCAAAAGAAGACACCATTCTTCTTTATCTTTATCTCTTTTAAACTAGCCCCTTGTATATCTTTATAAACTTAATATCCTCCAGCTCTTATTAAATATATATAATCGAAACTGTTGAAAATAATAGGGCAGAACCGAATCCTAAGCCCTATTATTTATATACAAATCAATTTGGAAAATTCGAAAATTCGAAAATTAAAAGAAAAACGTTATATTGTATCGATACCCAAAATATAATATTAATTTGAAGACAATAGCATTCTCTGTATTGTATCCACACACAACAAATTTCGAAGGAAACTTTTTCTTCGAAATACAATCTTCTCATGATCGCTCTAGATCATAGTTATCAATACAATTCCATTGCAATTATTTCCAAGTAATTCTGGCTAGTAGTTGTTGTAATATTATTATCAATGCTTCGAAACACAAAACGTATGCGAAAAAACATATGAAAAACTTTGTCCTAAGATTTCAGAATAAATAATCTAATCTCAACATCAATATGGAACACTCTGATTGTATAGTTGTAGAGGTTCCAAATATTAATCTAAATACTCTTTCAGATATAGATATGAGAGAAGCCATCCCAGATCAATCTATAATACCAAATATCTATTCAGTAATCACTTCCAGTCCTTTTATAATCCCAAATTTACCTATTTATTCTAAAGAACCCTAATCGAATTATCAAGCCTTATTTTATCAATCAATCAAATAACTAGCTCTAAAATCAGAATACAAGATTTCAGTATATCTAGCGATTCTTTTATTACTCAAAAGCCAAACAATATTACTCAAATCTTTAATCAAAACAAAAAGCGAAATTCTATTATACTATTTATCAATCCAAACAAACAATTCAAAATCCAAAACGATCCAATCATTTCTAAAGAAGCTATTCTAAAAGCTAAAGATCTCATAGTTTTAGTTTCTATTCTCTCTCAATTATATAACGAACAATCTAAGCTATTAGACTTTTTAGAAATCTTTAGAGAATATATTGAAAAAGGAAATCTCACTATAGCTTCCAAAATCATTATATCCCAAATCAATCACTTGGAAACAGCTATACGGAAAATCGAATCTCAAATCAAAGCTTTAACTAAATCGGCTCCTATTAGTATTACAATATCAATATCAAAATCTTCTTATGCTAATATTATAAAAAAAGGGGAATAGAATCTAATTATTAAAGGAAAAAGTAATAAATCTATTCCAATAAAAAAAAAGATTAGTATTATCCAAAAACGATTATTCTTAATCAAATTAGAAATCCCTAATTCCAAAACCTTTTTGCCTTTAATGATTCAAAACAAGATTAATAAAGCCTTTCAGGAAATTGAAATCAAAAAACTAATAGTTACTATAACAATACTTTTTCTCAATAACAATATCATTATTATTACTAATAATCCCTTTATAATATAATTTCTAATTGAAAAGAAAGCTATCTGGAAAAATATTATCAAATTCGAAAGAATTCAAAAGATTAAGAATGATATAAGGTTATTATTTACAATATCCTTATAAAAGAGTTCTCTAAGTTTAAAGAAATAGATTTGATTATAATTGAAATCAAAATCTTCAATACAGATTTCAAGCTAATAGGAACTCCCTTCTGGCTTACTTCAATAGTCAAAAGAACCCATCAAAAAGATAGCGTTATCGTTATAGC